ACATAAGACGCTGGCGCAAGAAAAAAATGGTGATGCCGATGCGGGGTTTCGATCCCGTGACTTCACAAAAGAGCGGCGTAAGGGTAATGGTGGCGCGCCGCGAAGTGGGACCTGGGGCCGCCCGGCGTGCGGGGCTGGCGTGCGGGGCTGGCGTGCGGGGCTGGCGTGCGGGGCTGGCGTGCGGGGCTGGCGTGCGGGGCTGGCGTGCGGGGCTGGCGTGCGGGGCTGGCGTGCGGGGCTGGCGTGCGGGGCTGGCCCGGACGCCAGGACAGAGATGGAGGACACGGCGCGGCGGCGCGGCGCATATTGACAGTGAAGGATCGGGGAGGCGCCAGCGTGCGAGCACACTGCAACACAGTGCTGCCAATGCCACGCGGGCCGCCGGCGAGCCCAGCCCAGCCAACCCAGCAACATGATATTGCGCGCCCTTATTGGCCCAGAGAAGTGATCAGAGCGCGCAGCGAGTCGAGTCTCGTCCCGGATTCCCGGATCCACTTGGCCGCAGCGACAGCGCGCCACGGTCCACATAATCAAGGGTCATTGGAACTGGTCTCGCGGCAGCCGGCCCACCCGGCCCGGCCCGTGGCGGCATGGTGGCAAGCGCACAGTGGGCCAGAAGACCGGTGCGGCGGCCAATACTCAGACGCGTTTTGAGCTCCAGAGTCGCTAAATAGGGCTCAAACCGAACGTGTGACCCCACCAATGGACTGCTCTCCGAACAAGGAGTCCATTGGTGGGGTCACATGTTCGGTTCGAGTCCTGTTTAGCGACTCTGGAGCTCAAAACGCGTCTAGAGTTTTGGCCGCCTCACCGGTCTTCTGGCCCACTGTGAAACGGAGACCTCTGATTTACAACAGTGCTCGAAGACCCTCTTAAGCCCCAACTATGCCGGTGCAGGTGGGAGCCTGGCCGCCTGGCGGCGTCGGCAGACTGACTGCGACGTGCACGGAGGACGAGAGGCCGAGACGGGGCCGCGGAGGAAGGCGCAAGGCACGGTAACTATGCACAACCTGCCTCCGGAGCTTCCGGGTCGTACCGGCAGCGCTGGGTGGTGAGGCTGGCTGGGGCGCCTAGCCTGCAAGCCCTGCCGCCTCACAGAGGCCAGGGCGCTCCGAGCGCTGGTTGGTGCGCTTCCTGAAGAGGTCGTGCGCGGGGCGCGGCGGGGCGTGGCGGGGTGAGGCGGGGCGGGGGGGTCAGGTGGCCCTCGACAGCAATGCCACTCGACGCAGCACGGCCAGCGCAGCGCCGAACGAGCAGAACAACCAGCGAATTCCGATCATTACTCCATGTTTTTGCTGCCCCTTTCGGGCGGGGAACAATATCAGAGCTTCCGCGAAACGCGCTTTATTTGAAGAAAGCCGGAAGGCGGACCGGCTGGGCAGCAGGGCCGCGGCACTGCTGTGGACCACAGCCTGTGGCCGTGCGCTTCGATCGTCCACGGCGTGGCGAGGCGAGGCGAGGCGTGTGCTGCACCACTGTGACGCTCGCGTCGGCGACTATTCACGCGCTCGGCACGTCCGCGCGCCGCAGATTTAATTTTTTTTCTCCGTCCCTCTGTCTCTCTCTCTCTCGCTCCGTCCCTCTGCACCATCGCAAAAGCAAACAGACAAAGTGCGCGAGCAAAGTCCCTTAATTTGGCATGAACCCGACATCATCAGCGAGTCATTCTCTTCTTCATTCCTTTTCTTTTCGACACGCGTCCTTCATCATGTCGCACGTGTTTGCGAGTGTTGGTGTCACTGCCTGGGGGGGAAGGGGGGTGGGGAGGGACGGAGAGAGAGAGAGAGAGAGAGAGAGAGAGAGAGAGAGAGAGAGAGAGAGAGAGAGAGTGAAAAATCATCCCGCGCCGGCCGGGGTCTCCTCAGGCTTTAAAGGAGGCCCGCCTTTTCATAACGCTAATCTGGAGCGTGCTTTGCAGGGCTGCTGTTCTCCATAAATATTCGCCAGTTCCAGTTTCATATTTCATCATTTAAGCAGCCGGGGCATCTGCAAGTCATTGGCGCAGGTCTAGCGCTGAATTTTTCATAGAGGAAGCAGCGAGATGAAGGAACACAAGGCGCGGCGATCGCGTCCATTAGCGAATTATCACTCCATCTGCTCATCAGGCAGCGGCAGGGCCGGCGGGGCCGCAGGGCCGGCAGCGAGACGCACAAACCGCGGCATGAAAATTCATGAATTGTTACGAGCAGAATTAGCCAAAGGTTGGTCCACAATGGGCCGGCCAGCCAGCCAGCCAGCCAGCCAGCCTCGGCGCAGCGGAAGGCGCGCTACACTTAGCCAGACATTTGTTTGCCCTCTACGAATTTACTTCATTTAAAAAACAAAAATAATGGCGGGAAACGAAAATTCAGCCGGAGAGTTGGCAGCATTGCGTATGGCTCCGCGGAGAAGGAGTCTGCGAAAGGAGACGCAAAGGAGAGGGAAAGAGACAGAGAGGGAGGAAGAGGAAGGGGGAGGGGGCGGAAAGAGATAGACCTGACGCAGTACGACAAACGTGAAAAATGACCACATACTTAAGGCTAACAAAAGCAGCGGCACTCTGACCGGCTGCAACAATGCGGGAAGGAAATGGAAAGGAGGCTGGGGGGGGGGGGGCAGGGGGCTTGGCATGGGCCCCGGGCCGAGAGAGAAAGAGGGAGGGGGGTAGCGGCCGTGCCGACGACCGAGAGGAAGGGGGAGGGGGGGGGACAACACACGTGAAAAAGTCGGCCACGGTCCGGCCGGCCTCGCCGCGCGGTCGGCGCCATTTCGCCATTTGTTGGCATTTCTCGCGGGTTTTCTGCGGCAACAAACGCGATTCATTTGAGTCGGCGCTGTCATCTGCTCGCTCTGCCACGTTCTGTCCGGCCGACTGTGCGCGAGAGCGTGCGTGGCGTGGATGCGCGGCAGTGAGGTGACGTAAAAAAGAGTGTGTGCAAATGCGAGCCGCGGTAATGGAACCTCGTTACCGCCGTCGTTGATTTGAAGAGGCGGAAACTCGTTTTGTTGCGCCAGGTAACGCTGGTAACAGGCTCCGCGCGCGGGCAGGCTGGCAGGCTGGCAGGCAGACTGTGCCTCGCACGGTCTGTTTTTGTTATTATTTTTATTATTATTTGTCCCGCCTGCCATTCAAAATGCAAAAGAGCTGCCGTGGGCCGCGGGCCGCCGAATGAGCGAATGATTATCATTTCGCCTTTTCCCCCCTTTTCTCCCTTCAGCGCGCGAGTATAAAAACTGAACAAAAAATGAAACAAATAAAAAAAGGCAGTGCGACAAAAATACAGGGAAGCTGTCCCACACTCTAAAAAAAGTTACAGAATTGGTATCATTTTGATGCAGGATTGTATCACCGGCGTGGGTTGACAAATGTGGGTGATGGCAGGAATTGTAAAAGGGGCCGGTGACAGAAAAATGAATCTTTGGACCATGAAGAATTTGTTACATGAAGGTTACAATTATGTTTGACAAACTGATACAGAAAATTGTAACGGTACAATTCGTATCGAGAAAAACCAGATGTTTTCGGGCCAATTGCCAGTGCGTAGGATCTCGACTTTGAGTAATGCTTTCATTTTCGGCTCTGTCATGCTCGTCTCGTATCTGTCCGGCAAGTGCGCGGGCCTTAGCGGGGCGCGGCATGAGGTCCCCGGAAAAAAGGGCCGCCCCAAGGCGTCCGCGAATGGAGCCGTACCGGCCCGTTGATTTGAGAGTGGGGTCGTTCTGTTGCCAGGTACGCTGGAAAGGTCCGCGCGGGCAGACTGGCAAGGCAACTGTCCCACGGAGGCTGTTCTTTATTATTTTCATTTTAAGCTTGTCCCGCCGATTCAAAATGTAAAAAGTCCGTCGGTTACGAAATCTGCCAATAGCAATAAAAATTCGTTTCCCCCGTGATACAATTTCTGTAACAGTTATTGAAAAAAAATGAAACATGTTACAAAAGGCAGTGCGATTATTACAGGAGTGCGCCCGCTCGCTTCGCCCGCCTTCGCCCGCCCGGGGAACGTGAACGTGTCGTCCGAAACATTTCGCCCGCGGGAAAACATACAAACACGTCACTCTCTATCGATTTATTTATTTGCCTTCGGAATTAATTTTTAATTTCTCCGGACAGTGTATGCTGCGTGCTGCGCCCGCCCCCAGCGAAGTATGGGCAGTGCCGGCGGGTCCAGCGGGTCCAGCCCGGGGCTCAGGGCCCAGCCCGGCCCAGCCGGCCAGCACGGCCCAGCACGGCCCAGACGGGGGAAAGCGACGAACCCACAATAACGCTGCTGCAGGCGCCTTGGGCTGCGCTCCTGCCTTGGCCCGGCCCCCTCGCGGGGCGGGGCGGGGCGGGGCGGGGCGGGCGGGGCGGGGCGGGCGGGCGGGGCGGGGCGGGGCGGGGCCATCCTCCTGGCCGTAACGATTACAAAGTTTAAACTTGCAAATGAGGCGTCGCGGCCGACGCTCTCCGCCCGCAGATTTTTCTGTTTGTTTGATTATAAATTCAAGACGGCAAGGGTGGAGGCGACGGCCCTCTCCTCTCCTCCGCTCTCCCTGGTGTGTGTCGTTACGACGTCACGTGCAGCGCCGTCATATACGGAGCGCCCGCCCCGCCCCGCCCCCACCCCACACGACGTCGCAGGGGCGTTAAATTTGCGACTGGCGATGAAAAAAAGAGTGACCATGCACGGCGCGCCCGGCGGGGCCTCCCTGCAGCATGACGGCCTGCTTCGAGGCGCCGCGGTGCTGCGAGTGACACCGGCGGGGCGAGCGAGAACTCAGGTGCGCAACGGCGCAACGGTGAGCGAGCAATAGTGTTGACAACAACACTACGTTCATGCACCGTAAAACACGGGCGAAACGGCGTGTTCGGTTCGCTCAGCCAATTATTCGGACCGACCGCCGCGCGCGGCCGACGGAGAAATCAGAGCAGGCGCCGTGTGGAGCCGGAATGACGCGACGCGTTGCCAATGGAACGGCGAAAAATTAAAACAGCACAAAAACCCGGGAGGGGAAAAATAAAAATAAAAACGGACACTTACCTCGAGTATCTGCCGCACTCCTCGACGATCCGGATCTCGCCCGCCGAGACCTGCGGGTAGGTGCAGCGCCGGAAGCTGCCGAAGTACGCGTCCACCCTGTCCAGCAGCCGGCCCTGCAACAACCACGCCACTGTCAGATTAGAGAGTCGAGTGACACGGATCAGCATGCCGCCGCAACGCGCGTGCAGGCAGCCACAGTCGTCCAGTCGCTGCACCTGATGGTGCCTGACGGCCACAGCGGACAGCCGCCACGGATTTTCGAAACGAGGAGGGGGTGGGAATCGAACCCGCAACAACAAGGCTGCGGTGCTCTGTATGCAGTGCATGCGTGGTCGTGATGGAGTGGCGATCCGCTCGAGTCCCTTTCACGTCCAGCGCCCCGGCACGCCAGCGCGTTATTAGCGTCCGTCATTAGGCCGTGTTGCCAAAAAGGCGTCATTTGCCTGCCTGCCTGCCTGCCTGCCTGCCTGCCTGCCTGCCTGCCTGCCTGGCTGCCTGCCTGCCTGCCTGCCTGGCTGCCTGCCTGCCTGCCTGCCTGGCTGTCTGCCTGGCTGTCTGCCTGCCTGCCTGCCTGCCTGCCTGCCTGCCTGCCTGCCTGCCTGCCTGCTGGCTGCCTGCCTGCCTGCCTGCCTGCCTGCCTGCCTGGCTGCCTGCCTGCCTGGCTGCCTGCCTGCCTGGCTGCCTGCCTGCCTGGCTGGCTGCCTGCCTGCCTGCCTGCCTGGCCTGCCTGCCTGCTGGCTGCCTGCCTGCCTGGCTGCCTGCTGCCTGCCTGCCTGGCTGCCTGCCTGCCTGCCTGTCTGGCTGCCTGCCTGCCTGCCTGGCTGCCTGCCTGCCTGGCTGCCTGCCTGGCTGCCTGCCTGCCTGCCTGCCTGCCTGGCTGGCCTGCACGGCTGCCTGCTGCCTGCCTGCCTGCCTGCCTGCCTGCCTGCCTGGCTGTCTGCCTGCCTGCCTGCTGCCTGGCTGCCTGCCTGCCTGCCTGGCTGCACGGCTGGCTGCAGGGCTGTGGTCAGATAGAATCAGGGAGCCGCAGGGCATCTGATGACTCCGCCCCCGCGTTCCTACACCATCCCACACCCCTCCTCAATTCGATTCATCAATCGGCCCAACCTAATCTGTCATCCGACCAGAGAGGATGCGAGCCCCCGACGGGGCCCGGCCTGCCCCCTGTCCCCATCGCTCTCCAGTGTACACTGTTAATGCATTCGAGCAAAAGAGGCGGTCGGGTCCGGGGGTCGCGACGTCGCGCCGATCAGATCGCGGCTTCGGGGGGTGAAAAAATAATCTCGATTTAAATTGCGGCGGCCGCAGAAAAAGTCAATACACTACGCAAATATATTACTGGGCAGAAATAAGGCGGCAGGCAGGACGCGGCGACGCGCCGATTTCCATTTAATGAATTCCGGCTCCGGCGCGGCCGGCCTCGGTTCATGGCGCGGCAAATTTGAAGTATAAGGTGGCTTTGGGTTGCGGAGACGGTAAAGACCAGGGGAAGACCACGCGCAATGGGCCAGAAGACCGGTGCAGGCCGCCAAAAGTCTAGACGCGTTTTGGAGCTCCAGAGTCTCGAAAGGACTCGAACCGAACGTGTGACCCCACCAATGGATTCCTCGTTCGAAGAGCAATCCATTGGTTCCACACGTTCGGTTCGAGTCCCGTTTAGCGACTCTGGAGCTCAAAACAAGTCTAGAGTTTCGGCCGCCTCCACCGGTCTTCTGGCCCACTGTGCCACACTCTCGGACGGACGGGCGGACGGTGAGAAATCGGCGGCGTGGATCCGCGGAGGGGGAGGGGGAGGGGGAATGGGGAATGGGGCGTGTGAAGATGGAACATACTGGCAGACGGCAAATCACACATTGATGGCCCGCTGCTGCATCCGCGTGGCAGGGCGGGGCGTGGCGTTGCCACATCACTGGAGGGGAAAAAAGTCGACAGGGATGAGGCGACTAATGGCGTCGACACTCTCGGCTGCCGATGACGAGCGTCCAAGCAGTCAGGCGGCAGGCAGGCAGCCAGGCAGCCAGGCAGACAGCTAGGCAGTTGGCGGCGGTAAAATACCTCGCCGTCTATCACAGGGGCCGCCGGGCCGCCGCCGGGGCGCGCGTTGTGTCTCGAGCTATATTTTAATTGCGAAAGTTGTTCCCGCGCTAAGTTGAGCGCTGAGGCTGAGGCATCCAGTCGGAAAGCGAGGAGCTCCGCTAGCGGCGCCGCCTCGCCCTCCTCCCCCTCCCCGCCGTGATGCAGTGCACCGCGGTGGACGGCCCAGTGGGCGCGCCACCTCGCGGCCCTCGCGGCCAGCCCCTCGGAGAGCCTCGGAGAGCAGCCCGACGGAGATGGAGGCGAGCAGGCACGGCCGAGCCGAGGTCTGATTGCTTTGCTTTTCATTGGCGACAGCGCGGCGACAGCGCGGCGACAGCGCGGCGACAGCCAGGCGGTGTGCCCCAGCTGGCTGGCTCGGAACGCCGCGCCGCGTCCGCCCCTCTCGCACCGCCGCGGCGCGCCCCGCGAGTGCGAGAGAGACAGCACGACGGAACGCGGCAGTCGGAATCGGACTTCCAGTGCGGCGGCAGCGGCGGCAGCCTGGATTTATCGGCCCGGGAGTGCCGCTCGTTTCTCTGACCAATCGGCGTCGTCGGCGTCGTCGGCGAGCACAATGCCCCCGGTGTCCATTTTCCCTCTTAAACTAATTTGGCCCGCGTTCTCGGTGCCGCCTTCCCCCTCCCCTCCCCTCCCCTCCCCTCCCCTCCCTCCTCGCGACACGCAGGGCGATCGCCCCCTCCCCTCGCGGCGAGCGGGAGATTGTTATGTGAGTGTTGCGGCGAAGGGCGTCGCGACACGTCTGCGACACGTCTGCGGAGTGTCCGGGTCGTTTTCGGGCCAGCGACAAATGGTCTGAGACGTGTCCGTCCCTTCCCCCGCCCCTTTCACCCCTCCCTCGCTCTCCCTCGCCGCCTCGCCCTCGCCGCCCCGACTCCAAGCCGATTCCTTTCCTGTTCCGCTGATGCGGACCTGCCAAAGCCACGCGCCTTCATACCGCCAACTTCGATGAGGACGCCCCGGCTCGTCACGGCGGGGCACGGCACGGCACGGCACGGCGCGGCACGGCAGGCCAAGTTCACCAGACGCGGTACCGACGGCACCACACACCAAAACACCGTTCCGACGGTGAAGCTGTTGCGGCACTTCGCCGCTCTGAGCAATAGTTGGCGTCGCTTTTACGTTCCCACTTTTCGTCTGCTTTTTTTTTTCGACTTTAAGGCACACCCCCGTTTTACTTTATGCTTGCTTTTACTATTTTCGTTTTCGCCCCTCGCATCTCGCGACGGCCGGTGTTGAACCCCGGGCAGCGACCGGCGCAGGGCGCGCAGCGCAGGGTGTTGTCCCCAACACGCACACGCCTCACGCGGTGCGGTGTGCGCCGTTCCCCGCGGCGTGCAGGCGGGGCGGGGCGGGGCGGGGCGGGGCGGACGGTGCATTGGCTCAATGATCTCGTTTGTATGCCGGCCCGGGGTGTCACGCCACACCCCGGCACGCCCCGCCACGCCCCGCCACGCCCCGCCACGCCCCGCCGGGGTGGGCGATGACGCGGGGGCTTCGCCGGGCTTCGCACCCCTCACGACACACGCGCCGAATTTCGCGATTTCCCGAACAAATATCAGTCTTAAGGCTTGGGGGACGAAACAGGGCTGTGGACCGCGTGGGGGGCGGGCCGAGGGACGGGCAGGGGGAGGGGGAGGGGGCGGATACGCCCAGGGGTTCTGTCAAAACAATGTCGCATCTTGATGATGGAGGTCGAGTTTTACAAACAAAACACTGTCTAGTCGACGGAGACATTACTCAGGGCGAATGGCCCAAGGGGAGGAAGATGGCAGCAGCAACGGGAAATATAGGCTTTATGCAAACGATTCGGTGAAAAATGGCGGCCGTGTCCGGAGCCCGTCTCCAGGGGGACGTGCGCGGACCGGGGCGCGCGCGCGCGTGTGTGTGCGTGCGCGCGTGCGTGCGTGTGTGTGGTGTGTGTGTGTGCGCGCGTTTCACTTTCTCTATTAGAATGCGGCATGCCCGGAAGGGCACGCTGCGGCCGCGCCGAACACAAACACGGCCTAGTCGGCCGCGATCGCGCGAGGCGGCGCGGAACGGGGAGGGCTGCTGCGCCGCGGCGGTTCAGTGGCCTATACGGTTGCCTGCCAAACTTGCGGGGTGGACCCCCAATGCTGGCCGCCAGCCTCGTCGGTCCGGCCGCCCGGCCCGGCCGTCGAGGTGGGAGGGGAGGGGGAGGGGGAGGCCGTGCATAACGGGGCAGACGTATGTATCGCCGGCCAAGTTTGACAAATGGCAGAGATACGACGGGGCGGGGCGGGACGGGGTGGCCCGCTGTATCGGGGTCCTGACGGGCCTGACCTCCGGCCGGCTGGCTGGAACAGTCGGTCACGTGGCCCGGGGGGGCGAGGGTCGCAGTCACGTGACATCGCGCAACGCATACATCTTGGGCGGGTCAAAAATAAATTCGAAAAAAAAGAAGGAAAAAGAAAGAAATATTCTCTGCTCCCCTGAACAACGCACAGCGCGTGTGGCGGGGCAAGCCCAGGGCACCTGGCCGGCCGGGGCGTACCCAGGGCACTTCGCACTGGTCGGCCATCGACTCATCGGCGTGCATCGCGGCGTGCATCGGCTGCTTTACGGCGCGGAAGCCTCTTTATGGCGCCACTATCTGCGCAGGCCGTTGGTCGCGGTGGGCCGGCCGGGCGGCTTGAAAGCCGATATTTCTTTTGTTGTTGGCCGCCGCCACGCCGGCCACGGCCACGCCGCGTCGCCCGGCCGGCCGGGTTGGGTTTCGATACAAAGGCGGCGCGGCGAGGACCGGAAGGCCAAGATTACTCACGGCGGACAGCCTGGGACATCCTGGGACAGCCTGGGACATCCTGGGACAGCCCGGGGCAGGCGGGGACAGCCGGGGACGCGACCGCCTCCACGACGCCGGGGTGGCCAGTCGGCGACAAGAAGGCTTTGCCAACAGTTGGGCCAAAGTTTGCAAAGCCCGCACCGAGGTCGCCGCGGTGGTGGCCGTGGTGGAGGCCGTGGCCCGTCGCGGTCACCAAGGCCCCGCTGAAGACCC